GTGGCAAGAACATCATGGGAGTAATCAGCTACTTTCTGGGTAGCTTTAAAGTCCTCTCTTCAAGAGGAAGCCTGTACCTGGCACCATTATTGGACTAGGAATATATAGCTAGATAGTTCATTGAGTACCTATTCTTATTTTTCTCCTAAATGGACAAAGTATTAAAAAAAGACACCTAGTAACTTACATTATATTCCTAGATAAGTACATTGCTCAGCTATCATCTGAGAAACTTAATTTTGTAGCAGATATTGATTAATAAATAGACCTACAATTGACAAAGTTAAACAATATAAGAGACTGCAGAACGCTTAGCAAGAATTGGACATATATACCCCTTTTCTTCCTAGACTCAAGGATCACTAATGAAGTGGTTGTGGAAAGAATGTAAGAGCCACAGGACAGGAATGTATATAATGAAAGTAATATTTGTGACAGTATGCATAAGACTTGTATTTGCCCAAGCCAGACAAAACCCTAATCTGGAAAGGAGACTTTGACAGGAAGTTGCACCCCTATCCAAAGACCATTTTCACTGATAGCTGCTGAGAGATGACAGACAGGGAGACAGAAACAGAGACAGGGACAGACAGAGGGGCAAAGACAAAGAGAAAGACAGAGAGACAGAGATAGACAGAGACAGAGCAGAGACATAGAGACAGAGAGAGACAGAGTGACAGAGTCAATTTTCTTTAAAAGTTCAGATCATAGGAAGATGATCACACTCCAATAAAAATCCATACAACCAAGAATATTTTGCAACACAAACTGGTCTTGATACATTTAACAACAGCCACAAAAGGAAACAAATGGGGCAAGGTTGGATGAGCATGATGGAGGGTAGATCTCGGGAGAATTGGGGAGATAGAGGAATTAATCAAAACACGTACAAACTTCTCAAATAACAAATAAAATATTTTTTAAGTAAAAGAGGGATATTAACAAAGAAGCAGGAGATCACTAGTATTGGGAGGGGGACAAAAGAGATTAACAGAGTCATTGTGATCAAAATACAAAATGTTGAAATGAAACTTATTATTATCATCATTGGTATATGCTAATAAAAATTTTAAAGGGGTAGATTCAGGAAAAACATAAATTGCTCTAAGTATACCTTAATTCATGACTACATCTTGATACCTAAATTGTTTAGACTACAGACAACTGTTGATGGATAATTACAGAGACATAAATATGAATAAGCTTGAACTTAAGTGTGGACAATGATCCCCTCCTCAAAGAGTACATTGTGTTCAGTTCTGTCCTAAGCAGAGGAATGCTACATCAGGGTGTTCAGTGGAACATCTGCTGTATAACCTTTTGTAAACTTTTCCCTGAGGACTGAAATATTAGGCAATCATTTGCTTTCCCAGAAATATATCAGTGGGGAAGAAGTTGCTCACCCAACTCCAGGCCCTTTCAGAAAGCATTCATTAAAGTTACCCTGCTCCTTTATAAAGGACTAACCAAAAGCCAAAAGTAGATAACTCACTGTGGCATAGTTGACCAACATGTAGCAAGGTTGGTAAAGCCATGGCAAAGCATCAGCTAAAGTAAACAGCTAGTGAAAAAATAGATTATATGTTATGAAAAGTAGATATTAATAACCATCTATTATAACTGAGATTTTGTTTTAGAACCGTGGTTCTCAACCTATGGGTCATGACCCTTTTTGGAGGTATTGAATGATCCTTTCACTGGTTTGCCTAAGACCATTGGAAAATATAGATATTCACATTAAGATTCATAATAGTAGCACAATTATAGTTATGAAGTATCAATGAAAATAATGTTATGGTTGAGGTGGTCACCACAGCATGGGGAACTGTATTAAAATGTCATAGCATTAGGAAGATTGAGAATCACTGCTCTAAAGGAAAACATTGAAATGAGAATGAGACATGTTCATGATGTACTGAACAGTTATGAGGATTTTATTTAGCATCCACGTAGATGAAAATTTCAGATGCAGTTCTACACTTTCATGAAGTAGGCAATAAAATAGCACGCTGACCCTCTCTAAAGCTGCCATTATCTAAAGCTAACTTCTAAGGGTCTTAATAACTTAGCAATGTATTCGGAGAAAACTGACAGCTTCCCAGCTAAAGACAGCTGTGACAAGAATGAGTAAGATGTTTTACACAGGCATGGGGAAAAGCATTTCTAACAGTTATAAGTTTATTGAATGAAATGCCACTGCCTGCCATATGTTCCCTCACTAGGACTTAGTGGACAAGCAAGGTTTCTAGATCTTTTTACACCATTTAGGCTGTTGACACTACAGGTAGTCACTTGTGGGAAGGAACTGGTTGGACCCAGTTGCTGAAAGACATTTCATGGTCTTATTTCATGATGTGGAAAAATCAGACTGGGGTTGAACTGGAATCTTCCTCCATGCTACTTGTTTCTCAGTTCCAAAGGCACTAAGGGATCTGCCTGGGCAGAACTGACACCAGGGAGAGAATTCAATTACATGCTAATGCCAGGGGAGAGCACAGAAATGCATGTCCACCAAAACCACTGTGACACAGCAGTACAGATTACAGAAGTAATGGCTAGTTACACTGCTACAAAAAAAAAAATGATGGGTGCTGTGACATACTGGCTCAATATTGAGTAAAAAAAAGCACATACATATATCACCCTCTCAAAGAGGCTTGAAATTTATAAACTTTTACTGAAAGAATGCAAGTGTATGAGGAAGGAGAAGATGTGATAGCATACAAAAAATTATACCTGGACTGATATGTCACTAATGATCATGTAGTCAACTTGGCTTTGGAGAGCTCTACATTGAGTTGGACACTAGCTACAAACAGCAGACACACACAGAAACAACAATTCTGTGATGACGGTGATAACACTACTAACATTTCCAGAAGCAGGAGAGTCATTGGAAACATACCCAGCATTAAAAACTTATTTCCTTCCTGTTACAGCTGTAGGTGGCCTTGCAGCAATCTGCTAGAGTATATAGGAGGTAGAAAGCAAACAGAGATTAGAACTCCAGTGCAGCAGCCTTCTCCAGTGGCCCACATACTGTGGTAGAACTTCTCTGAGATGCAGCTGTCATTGAGTCAACCATGCTTCTGTAAGTAAGCTCTCACTCATGCTCTGAGTATATCTGATTAGTCTGTGAGTTCTCTGAGGTTATGAGATGGAATCCTCTTGGTAGAGTCCTGTCTCAGTCATCTTGTGTTAACAGACATGCATATTTGTTCAAGTAACACAGGACCAAGTTTAGGAGAAATTTTACAGTCTAGGAGGAATCTTCACTGTTTACAGAGGTTCACAACATGGGAACCTTTTCTTTATGTCAAGGGCAATAATTAATTTGTTTTCCTTATCTTACTTGAAGTGATAGAGGAAATGGGATGAGATGGGTAAAGCCAGATGTACTTCTGTGCTAGGATAGCAGAGGCAGATCAGTCTCAAGTCTGGCTAACCAGCCAGCATAGTCTACTTAGGGAGTTCCAGGAGAGTGAGATTTCATCTCAGCAATTATAAAATAAAAGTGTGGCTAGTGTTTAAAAATAACCCCTGAAGTTGTTCTCTGCCTTATATACATACTTGTACTCATGTGAATGCACACATAAATACCCATATACTCTAAAGCATTCTAATGGTTAGAGAAAGGCATCTTAATGGTTAGAAAGCATGGATGATGTTTAAAAACTTTCAATTGCCATGACAGTTTCTGGAGAAGAAAAAAAAAACTATAGTTCAAAGGTTGATTTGGCTGAGATTCAGAAATGGTAATTTATTGGGAACACAAGAGTCAGTGTGTTCAAATAGTCACAACTCAGAAAGAAGGAAAGGTTTTCTTGTTTCTTGCATTTTAAACAATAGTTTGACCTCTTGAATTAACCTTTAAAACTTTCACTGCTGAGGCCTAGAATGATGATAGCAGATGCATTTCTTACATTTCTTGACTAATCAATTGGGAGTTATGAAGTTATTTGAATGACACCAATGTATTTATTAACAGTTGGTGGTATTAAAGTTCTGTAGGTGACAAGCACAGCAAAACAGAATTTTATGAAACGTATTTTATGAAATAGAGAACAAAAACATTTTTCTACGTCACTTTATATTAGATTATGGAAATGCTTCAGGTGAAATTGGATAGTACACTTATACATATATACATATGCATGTATCTATAGAGAGATAGATAACTATTGAATTTATATATTGAATTATGTTTGAAATTATATATGAAATACACATAATTTTATAAAATAATATCTGAAACCAAAATATTCATGGAAAATGAAAGTCTCCAAGGTGAAGAACTCTGCTGTTCTGATTGTGCTTGTAGGGAGGTAGTATCCTCTGCCATTTTTATTGAGTACACTGCAAATATTCCATGGGATGAGAATTTCATTGTTATATATTACATTCCATGGATTGAAAGAGCTAGCATAAACTGAAACCATATCAGGTATTGATAGATTAGCTTTTTTAGAAGACCCCTAATGCTAGGAGAATATATATATATATATATATATATATATATATATATATATATATATATATAAATTTCTTTTAATAGAGTTTATTCAACAGGAGAACTGGTTTAGAAGTAGGCATAGTTTTTGTGAGTTACTATGTGTATTTCCTTGCTGTACCTAGCAGAAACTGTTTCTTAGAGTGGCCCTACACCTCTAACTCATGATCTTTCTTTTTCCTTTTCAATAATCACTTAGTCTTCAGGAGAGGGCCACAAAGTCCCCCTCCTAACCAAAAAACTATTTGCAATTGGTGCCTGATGGGAAATAAAGAATCTGATTTCCCTGATGGAGTGTAATGGGGTAAATCAACCACACTGCAGGAGAGGCCTCAAACCAACACAAAACTGACTCTGTGTCGTTGAGTCTGGGGAGTTTGGGAGGAATTCTGTTTTGATATTTTTCATCTTACTTTTGTTTGTTTTCCTTTTGCTTTTGTTTCAAAGAGACAAAAAATAAAATAAAAGAGCAAACCAGAGCTAAGTGAGTATGGAGGTAGTGAGGATTTATAACTATTTGAGAGTGGGTAAAGAATATGATCAAATTATGTTGTATGAAAAAAGTTAGTAATAAAAGGGGAAAAAGAAGTAAGTAGTTTATCTCTGCTTGATGGTTATATTTTATGTATACAAGGACATTTAGTTATTTAGTTCAATGAAGAGAAAATAAATTAGACCTCAATTCAACAAATGGCAAGCAGAAAATATATCTCAGCATTTGTAATAAAAGTTACTCACACTTTATTTTTACTCACATGTTTTTCTTTCAGTTTGTGTTTCTAGATATTACAGCCATTAACTGCCTATACTTCCTAGTGATCCATTAAACTTTCACAAAATATCTGATTATTATTTTAAATAACATATTGAAAATAATATAGTTAAGTAAATGTTTTAATACTTATATATTGGTTGATATATACATACTAAATCATATTTTTGTATTTTAATTTATTCTTGTTTAGTCATTTTTAAAAATACTAGACCTGATAACTAATTATATCAACAGCAACACAATTCCACTCAGTACTTATGATTAACTTTGCAAGATATAATTGAATATATTCAGCATCAATAGAAAGAATTGTCTAATTTAACAATATCTTGTTAAAGAAAACATCTGTTTTGAGCAACAAAAAAACAGGAGAGTAATGAGTTTTAATTCAAATCCCAGAGTAAAATGAGCTTTAAAATATTAATTATTTTGTTATTTGAAGGACCTCACTTCTAAACATAAATATTGAGAAGCATGGGGATACACAGGAACCATGAGAAAGGAAGTGATTCAGAGGCTAGACACTTAGATGAAAAGAAACTGAAATTTTGTATCTAAAGAGAAAAGAGTAGGTAAAATAGCCATTTTCTTCCTTAATTTCAGGTTTATTTAACACTCACATTTAAAATTACACATTTATTAAATGCATTTATATTCTGATCATAGATCATTGACTGAACTACAACTAACTCAGTTTCTATTTTAACATTTACAGACACTAGAATTACTCAGAGACCAAGAGCTCATGCTCAAGACATTGAACAGCTGCCATACTTTTTCACTCAACACCCCAGAAACAAAAGAGGAAGCCAAAAAGCTCTCAGTGAATCCTCAGTCCATGGTTTTATCCTAAGGAGCTCAAGTAGTATATTGGATCAGCTGTTCTGTAGGTCATTATGAGCACTATATATGTGTTATAATCACCCCTACAAGAAAATGCTGAAAGAGTAAGCAATGATACAAAATCATATTACATCGTTGATGAATTACAAGTAAATAAAGTTTTAATAATAAAACAATTTTGTGGCTAAGTTATAAATTATCCGTTTATATAACCCTAGCTTAGCAATATCTGGCTACCAATTTTATTTACTATTCTGTAGGAGACTGACCTGAATTGGGCATCCGTGTTTAAATATACATGTATATCCATAAGAATGAAAATGTATATCCATAAGAATGAAATTGTAGTTATATTTATTGCGTATTACTAATGGTACCTTATTGGCAATCTTTTATACTACGACCATTAAATCAGCTCCTCTTAATTCTCAAGAATCTCCTGATTCCATGTTTGCATCTTACGGATGTGTTATTACTCTCTGTTTTATGGACTTTTCCTATGGCATTACTGAAAGGACTCAAACATGAGGATCACACAAGTACTATTTAATGTTTCTCCAAATGAAACTATGTCCTCAAAAATGTTGGAAAGATCATCTTATTATGGCAGCTATAACTTCTAATTGATATGATCATTCCTGTATGACCTTTATCATAACTTATCATGAACTGATTTGGTTTGAACATTATATGGAAGTAATAATGAGAAGTGAAGGAGTAATATTTTAATGCCGTTCTTCACTGGCATTGGTAGACACTTCATAAATTACTATATTGACTTCACTCCAGTGTCCTTACAAATGGAATATTATCACACTAGCTGAGAAATAAAAAGTGAAGATTTGGGAGGTTAACACAGAATTTTAACCACCAGCATGCCCAGTAACATTGGGAGTCTGTGCTGGCAATGGCCGAGAGACAGCAGGAACTGACCTACTCTGGTGATGGGATGGCCAAACACCCTAATAGTTGTGCCATAAACCCCATCCAAGGACCGAGGAATCTGGATGCAGACATCCATGGCTAGGCTCCTGGTGGAGCGCTGGGAGTCTAATTAGTGAATAAGAGGAAGGTTTATATGAGCGAGAATTGTTGAAACCAAGGTTGGATAAAGCACAGGGACAAATAACCAAATGAATGGAAACACATGAACTATGAACCAAAGGCTGGGGTGCCCCCAACTGGATCAGGCCCTCTGAATAGGTGAGACAGTCGATTGGCTTGATCTGTTTGGGAGGCATCTAGGCAGTGGTACCAGGTCCTGGGCTCGTTGCATGAGTTAGCTGTTTGAAACCTGGGACTTATGCAGGGACGCTTGGCTCAGTCTGGGAGGAGGGGACTGGACCTGCCTGGACTGAGTCTATCAGGTAGATCCCAGTCCTTGGGGGAGGCATTGATCTGGAGGAGGTAGGAATCAGGGGTGGGCTGGGGGGAAAAGGAGGGGAGCAGGAAGGGAGAGAACAAGGGAATCTGTGGCTATTATGTAGAACTGAATAGTATTGTAAAATAAATTTAAAAAAAAGGTGATTAATAAGTAAAAAAAAAAAAAAAAAACATTGGGAGTCTGTAGTTCCTCTAAGTCAAGCATTCACTGCTCCCAGGATCTGTCACCATTTGGTATGGTCTTTTCTTTCATGTCTTTATATGTTTTCCTTCACAAAGTTTGTGTCATACCTTTCTAGACTTTATATTTATTACCATAGAATTGCTTACAGATATCAACACAACAAGTATTTGAAATCACATTTGGGCTTCATGTATGATCCTGGCAGAGGGCACACACTGGGAAATCAAACTCCATTGAGATTTCCACTGATGCTAGTAATGAAGGCAACACTGTGCCATTGATCTTCATCTGCTGATGCTGACAGACTGCTCTGCTAGAGGCAAGGACAGAGAGTGAAGTAGACTGTAGAAAGCATATTCATGAACAACATGATTTCTTTATTAAATCTTTGTTTTTATATCCCCTAAAACCTCGCCATCTTAGATGAGTGTAATTGTGAACCATCTCCTTATTATGACAAATCTGACTGAAAATGATTTGAGCCATATGCCACTGACATTAGTGACAGTTATCTTTCTGAGTCAGGTCTTTTGGGCACCTACCAAATCCCAACAAAGCTTTGGTTTCTTCTGGACACAATACTATAGGCAAGACCTAAAGGGGGTTCAAATGGTACAATTTCAGTAGGAAAATAAAATAAAAACAACATGATATTTTATTAGAAAAAGTTACTATTTAAGATAATATATTATTTAGCAAAATATAGATGAATTTGTTGAAATTGACAGTTCTACATAATTTTCATCTATAAAATGTATTCTATATATCCATAAAATTACAAACGTACATTTTAGTTATGATTTTCTGATTAAAATAAAATGCAATGCATCACGATCAACTTCATTTATGTCAATATGATTGCTTACTTACTGTTGCATAGCTTGAAGACTTTCTGAAACTGATACTCAGCATATTGCATGCCTGGAACAACCCTCTACACCACTTACTGGAGGAACTCAGTGCTATGCCAGGAGCCCGTGATGATATTCTATCAAGAGTTGAAGATATTGAGGTAAAACACAAAGAGCTTCAGGAGAGCATCATGAGGATAGTCAGCAGGGTGAGCAGTCTTCTTACTTTTCTCCTTGAATGATGTGACGTACGTGGAGAACAATAACATTTGAAACACTCCACTCTGCAAGAACACAGTTTATGCACAAAGTCTTTCTATTCCCTGGCCACTAGTTGATAGAGCTCTTCCTCACAGTCACCAGGGCAGTACCTTTCCTGGCAAAGTGAGTTGTTCTCAACTATCTACCATTCCTGGCCTCTGTGCATCTAAAGTGAGAAAGATGATACAACCAGTCCTTCAGTTGTGCCTTGCACAAACATAAGTGTAAATTTTTTGGTCCTCTATATAGCTTTTCACAAAAGAATATGCATTGTCTAGAATCAGTTTTATCTGAGAAAATATATACTTGAGTCTTACTTCTAGTTTTCAGATGACCAGAAGGATGCATGGTATCCAGGCTTTGACACATGAAAATTCACACTTCTGACTCTGGATTTGTGTTGATGACAATACTTAAAAGGGAAAAGGACAACCCAACACAAACAGTAATAATGTGACTATTAATTTTGTCATTAGGTTCATCCTGGAATGGAAGGAAATTAAGAGTACCCTGTCTGGTCAGAGCTTGCATCCTTACAATCAGTGGAGGAAAAATCACGTTTTTTTTTTGTTTGTTTGTTTGTTTGGTTTTTTTTTTTTGTTTTTTTTTTTGCTCTTTATAAATTATCCTACTGCCTTTGTGTTGGCACAGATAAGGTTAATATTTATCTCAGACTCCCGAGGTATGTTCATATTCATTGAGACATCTGCTACAACTTAGAGGACTGATACTCTATAATGATCCATTTTTAATGATTTTTGCATGTGTGCTTGAGTGTAACATGCCTCCACAAAAACAAAATAGTGCTTTAAATATGTCAATGTATAATGCGACAATTATTAATATCTTTCATTCATTTAGTACTAAACACATCAGTAGCATGGACCCCCTCCTAACAGAAAAAAAATAGATGTTTCATTGGGAAATGATGAAATTGGCTTCTTCCTACTTTCACTCAGTCAATCCTCAAAAATTTACATTGATGACTTAGCAAATCATATAAAAAAGCAAGACAGATTTTATTTGACAGCAATATTTTTTTCCTAAAATCATCTCAGAGGTAATAATCTTAGTGATTTTCATAGTCCCTAAACATTATTTGGTATATAGTCAGGATCCATCTTGACAAGGGAAAGCAGGCAGCCCCTGTGTAAATCAAATTTCCAAACACTAGCAACACATGGAAGATTGACTGTACAAAGTCAGTATCCAGTGTTTTACTGATAACAGTTCATCCCCACCCTCTCCCACCACCTATCTCTTTTACATACCAAAAATAGCGTGGTAAGTTCATGAATTCCAAGTCTCTACCATGAAATTGTATATGTAATAGAATTTGAGTTTGTATTGATATTAGTAACATGGCATTAAGAGGTATCAGTGCCGGGGGGGGGGGGAGAGCCTTCAGCAGCATGGGGCTCAAATGGAAATCCACAGCATCATCATGTATTAGGCTTTTTTTTTTTTTAATCTGAGGGGGTTAGGGAAAAAGACACTCAAACTCTCTCTTGATGATTTCTTTCTTTATTCTCTATTCTTTTGTGTTCTTTCTGTGTTCTTCCATTGTTAGTTGAAGAAAAAAGGTACTCTAAGATGAAATTTTAAGACCCATGTGGCAGCAGGAAGGTCTAACCCCTTCTGATGGCTTGAACCCTGAACAGCCATACCAAGGTGTATTTATTGATTGTTACACAAAGTATTTCCTCATACCAAGGTCTCTAATCTTAATTTACATGTCTTACTGAAGGAGAGCATCACATGCTTTCATGACTCTTGTTCTTTATTATGCATTGTGTGCCATACACAGTAATACAAGAGCCTCAGGTGTACCTGAGGTGTCTTGTGACCAAAGTCATGGGATGACTGCAAAGCCCCTTCAGCAAAACAATCACTGTCTTACACAGGAATTCTTCAAGGTCAAGGTACTTCTAAAAAATAGCTGTGCATTCTAACATCTACGCCATACAGGGATTCTGCTAAATTCCTACAGAGTGCAGGTAAAAACCCATTTTTTTTTAAATCTCCCTTACATGATTAAAAACAAAGTCACTCCAATAAGCCATATACATTTATATTTAAGTAACTTGCTACATATTAACAGAACATGAACAAGCAGAAAGTATTTTTTCATAGCCAACTCTTTTGTTGGCAGGCCATAGCAGCAACAAAAGTAAAGGCGCAGCAAAAGCAAAAGACATCCTGGGGTGTGAGGTCTAGGGGCCTTGTTTAATGGAGATTCACCCATCAGGGCATTACCTCCTGGTGGGCTAACACCTTGAACTAGACAACTACCAATGGCTAATGAGGCCATGAAACCAAAAGGAAAAAATTTTACTGCAATTTTCTGACATAGAATCAGGGAAATCTAACAAGGCTCCATTGTTAGGTGGAGAAAAGTAACTGATAAGTGATTTTTGTAAGATAGGAAAATCGAATGTGCCCTAAGAGATGAGCACTCATCTTTCTTCTTGATTTCAATTTCAATGAAATATCTGCCTCATGATGTACTGTCAAACTGTGAACCAACCAACCAAACAAACAAACAAAAAACCAAAACAACAACAAAACCTCCACATTTCTTACTTCTCCTCAGCATCTTCTGAGACATATTTCATGTGTTCTTTACTCCTGAGTCTAACAAGCCTTCTTTGGTTTAGTGTCAGCTCAAATTCCAATTACTTAAGACATTAACATTGTACTCTTGTGAATCAAGTCACACACCATTAAACTCAGAGAAGGTCAGTCCAACAATTTCCCTTTCCTTCCTCCTGCTCCATATACAGTCCTTTGATTTGTATAGAATAGGGTGGAGGATTAAGGGAAATGAAAATTTCTCTTATCTCCAACTTACATAGCGATATGAAAGACCTATTTTAGATAAGATCACAATTTGATTTCCTCTCAGTGGCAACTGACTCTCCCATGGGTCACTTTGGTGCTTTCCAAGGACACCTACTGGGAGATTACCACAAGATACAGTGTATTAATGACCTTGCTGAATTTTCCTACCTACAGTTCTGACATTAGCATTGTCCTTTATGTCCTTTGGCATTCCTTCCTTTATGATAAATTCATAGTACTAGAGAATAGTGGTCAAAGTGATCTTTCTGATGAGTGGATGTAGCAATTTTCTGCATCAGGATTACTAGAATAGTCAAGAAGCAATAGCATTATATCACTGCTGACTCCCCATTGGGGTCTCTACCAACGTTGTTCTCCTCCTGTTCATATGGATACAAGCTAGCTTAGCAACTCATCACCTGAAGAATAAGATGCTATTCTTCCTTTCTTTTGAATCCCATATGTACTTTTGTCTAGGAATAACACCTTTAGATTCATTCACTCAGTTGTTCCTGAGTAGCACACTAATCCTAATAGTCATCCAATACAATTAGTCAAAACACCTGATATTTGACTTCTTCAGTCTTCATAGTTATGATTAATTGATGGGAGCTCAGTTTGTCATATGTGTCTAAGCACCTAAGATATGGACCCATCACACTGTCAGATGCTCCTAGAGGAAGTGGATTGCCGGGTTCTGTTTCCAAGGATCAGAGATTTACAAGGATTTCCAGATACCGAGAGACCATCCAGACAGAATTCTAATAAATATAAATGAAAACAATGGATGAAATTGACAAAATTGAATGTTGGGGGAAGGAGTAAAGAAAAGAAAACCTAAATAAAGGAAAACCTTCAAAAGGCATGGTGTGCTTTGATACTATGATGATATAGGTATATTTTGTTACTATCAATGAATCTGTAGTGTTAGGATACTAAACTTTATGATCACCTAGAAGTACCTTAAATTTTAGAACCACATATAAAACTTTTATTCCACCTTCTCCTTCCACGTGCCTTTTCTCATCTTACCTACTTTCTTTAAAGTTTCATTGCATCAAAAGTACCTTTTCCTTCATTCATTGAATTGTTAGAGCTCTAGGTGACAATCAAAACTAGACCACTCTCCGTGACAAAATTCAAGAATAAGTCTTGCTGTGTAATGAAATTTCCTGGTGATTATAAGACAATAGTTCAGGTAAACTTATTGTTTGCCTCACAGCCAGGTTTATTTACACTGAATCTGCCTTCTCCCTAATGGTGATGATCACTATTTTTTTCTCAAAAACAACTGAACACCATGCTTCAAAATATATCAGTTCTTCTATTTTCTCTTGAATACATTCAAAATTATTATTGCTCTGACATATTTCAAACTTTTTTCTTCAAAACGTGGATATATATCATGAGATCCAGGGATGTAGATGAATTTCTAAATGGTCTTTTTTTATATATATAGTTGAATATAATTTGCTTCATTGTTTGAGACAAGATCTCATTAGAAAACTCCATACATAAACTTCACATTGTATATTTTAATGGATAATATATATTGAATATTTTAAAACAAATCCCAGTAAACATGTCATTTCTATAACACTGGCTCATTATTCAAAACATGACAGTTTTATTATTAAATAAAAACCTGGAGCCAGATATAGGGGTGAAAAATTGAGAGATCAGAGGAATAGGAAAAGCTGCAAGCTAACCTCACCAACACCTCAGTCTCCAAAGAGACCTACTTCCTGTATACCCATGCCTTTATGCCTTTCTGTTCTGCTATCTCATTTCCTCTCTCCACCCAACTACATCACTTCCTCTTTCTGCTCAGCTCTGTCACTTCCTATCTGTCTGTACAGACCTCCAGACCTCTGGAGGCTAGTGCTGGGATTAAAGGCATGTGTCACCAAGATTGGCTCTATTCCTAGTGTGGATTTGAACTCACAGAGATCACAGATCCCTGCCTCCCGAATGATAGGATTAGAGGCATATGCTACCATTACCTGACTTCTATGTTTACTATAGTGGCTGGCTTTTTCCTCTAATCCTCAGATAAATTTTATTGGGGGACACACTACATCGCCACACAAGGATACTTTATATATGTTAGTTTTGATATCTCAATAGTCAGTTTATGAATGTATGATGATAACTAAACAGGGAGGAAACTGGGCAATGACTGACAATTCTAAGGAATGTAAATTTCACAGTATTACATAAAGCACGGTCTTTATACTGCCAATTATTCATTTGTATATGATGGAGAAAGACCTCTGTGCAAAAGTAGCTTATAACTGAAATGAAACTTTTCAGAGAAAAGTTATTATAGCTATAAATGTTACACAGAAAAAAGAAGAATAAATATTTAAGACGAACATAGGAGTCAGTCCTCTCTAATGAGGTTATGTGTGCTTGTATCTATGGATTTCAACATAAAGTGACATTAGAGGAAACAATCATTTTATTGTAGGAATAAGAGCCATGATATCAAAACAGAAAGAAATTAGCACCACAAATATTCATCTGATGTTTTGAAACCTAGTGTTATGGTCACTACAAATACCAAAAGAAAGTTTTAAAAAATCTGGCTGCCAGTAGTTTGAGCTGAACTTGGGGGGAAGGGTTAGACAAATATGCAGATCACTGCACTAATGTCAGAGTGGTGGATACTGATAAATAAAGGAAATATGAACAAAAACAAACAGCAAAGAAATTACCGAATGATTAAATCTTTTCTTTCAAGGCCTCGTGGCTTTGATGGTTTGATGAAATGCTGATTGATCAAAAAAGGAAAAAAAATATATTCATCAGTTAATTTTCAGTATTCCTATATCATTTGCATATACTGACTTTTAGTAAAAGGAGATGAGTTTTATAATAAGACATTAGTAAACAATCAATGTTTAAGATTTTTCTGTAGATATTACTATGGAGTAAGAAATGGTAACCCATGATGCTAAAAGCCTTTCCATCATAGAGAGTGATATCTATCAGTGTTGAGTCTGAAATCATTGTATGAGTAATGGGACAGCAGCACATAGTACTACAAGAAATAGAGATAGCTAGAATTTGATGATGTAACTAGAATATAGATGATAATGGGCTGTGCTACTGGAATGCATAATTGATAGAAGAAAAGGGGCAAGTGAGTCTATGTTCACTGCAGACAATCTAAAAGAAACTCCTCAAGGACTCTCCAATGCAGAAGAAATCAAAGCAGCCATCAGCAACTCAGGGCTCAACAGAGGAAGGTAGCACACAGAAACAACAAGGGATCTTCAGAGAATGAGAATAGATGGAAAATGAGGGTAAAATCCAAGAGACTGAGATGAGGCCAGTTAACTTTATGGCCAATTGCTCATGAACTTTATTTTCCTATATATCACTGACTAAACCACATTTACCAACATATTGTAACGTAAAAACATCATTAAGCTGAGTCTAATCAAATGGTGCTTTTAAGTATGTACTGTACCAGAAGAGAACAGTTACCATCATTAAACAATAACAAGACAGAAGTCACTGTCTTCCCTATTCCTCACTGGACCTGAATACCACACAAGGACTGCCTATTCTCTTTGAACTCGTGTCCAGCTTTCTAAAAGTTTACAATACATTGTGTAACACTTTGTATCTGCAGTAGTTTACAAAAGCTTCTGTTTTGAAGCTTGAATCTTCACCCTGTGGAACTACAGAGCACTGGTAAAAATTTTAAAATTTAGGAAATAGAACC